CGGGGAGACAGCTGACAGGATTTGATGATGTCTCAGCTGACATACAATGGGGATTGTTGTTGTTGTTTGTTTTTTTGTTTGTTTGTTTTACAAGGTAATTGTTAGCAGGCAATAAAATGAAATACTGAAGATTTGGCACAATGTTTTATATATTATGATCCTCCTGCTAGAGATCTTTGTTAGCCTGTGGTTCTTTTATTTCATAGTCCTCAGGAGTATCATCTTTAACCTGAATCCCTTTGTCCTCTGCTGCACTTCATGCTAGTCATGAAACAGTTAACCTGTACTGTCTTTCAGGAGTCCCATTTCACTCCTGCCAGAATCAATGATAAAATTCTGACTGCTAAAGCGAGTGAGCCTATGGGCCAGATGGATATTTGGTATCAAAACATTGGAAAGACTCTTTCTGCAATAAAAAGGTATATGAAGCATTTGCTCTAAAGACAAGTACCATTCTCTTGTCTCCAGGGTATTTGTAATCAATATTATATTACAGGTTGATTAAATACCAAGATATTGGAATGGTGAATCTCAAAATGTAGTTTTGGCTTTTCTTTGTTTCTCAAAAACAGTTGTAAAAAATGTTTAGAAAAATGTTGACAATACCAGAAAACAACAAAAACAAAATAGCAACATGGCTACTGCTTCCGAACGTGCAAACTTGACAAGGGGGAAACACTCATCACTGGGTCATTTCCCAGCAGATGCTGTAGGTGGGCAAAATATCATAACCTTGTGGGCTAAATATTTTGGCCATTTATCTTGCATTATGTGCAAGTAGGCAGTAGAACATGTGAAATAATCTCTACACATAGCTTCTTAGACTAGAATCCATTATGTTAATAAAATGTGGGTGCCTCTCAAAAAGTCAGTGACATCCACAGGAAGAGAAATGTTGAAATCTGTTGTCTTCATGTTGAAATATGGGATGTGTGTGGAAATAAAAATTCTGGATTTGATATATTTGACACTGTCACAAAAAAATGGGTAAGCAAGAGAATGAAGGCCATGTGAAGAGGCATGGCTAACCCAGCTATAATTTGGAGCAGTAACACATGGCTTGGCCCTCTTGTTCCTTTTTATCCCTTTAGGCTTTCTGTCTTTGGCAACAGGTATTAGGTTCATGTCCATCTGAACATGAGTAATAAAGTCTGAGACTGTGAGAAGGAGGAGGCAGAGAGAACCTGGCTCCATACTCTAACTATAGATAAGTTGGGCCATCAAAATGCCCAACGGGGGGGGGGTAAGAAATGTAATGAAATGTAAACAAAATGAGTAACAAGGTGAAGAGTGCTCCCTCTGTGAGTTGCCAGTAAGTGGACTTACAGAAAAGCTGGGTTGGAGACTGAGTCAGTTGGACCCCCCACTTTCTCTTGCCCCTCCACCTGCTTCTTCACTCTTTCACTTTCTAGAGCTCTTTTATTCAGTCCTCTTTTCAGTGACTTGTTACCAAAGTTTAGGTTTGTTCTTTGGGGACATTTTTTGTTTTATTTTGTTTTATTAAAGGAGGTTTGAGAGTTTGTTTGTTCCAATAAGCAGGAGCTGTAATTGGGAAATGGGTTAAGCTTGCTTCCAATTAAGATAATTGACATGAAATACCCAATTGCATCCTGAGAGAGAGAGGGAGAGAGAAAAATAAGTTCCCCAGCTGAGCTGCAGAAGAGAGCAGCTTTGTCTAACAATGTAGGTAGAAGCAGATGTTTAGAAAAACATGTAAAAGCAATCAGGAGGGGATTTATTAATTTGTTTATTAATTAAGATGCATGCATGAGCAGACAACAAAGTTCTGAGTTAAGAAAGTTCCAGCAGGGGTTATAAGGAAAGGGCGGCTTTGATTGGTTTTATATATATATATGTATGTATATATATATATATGCATACATACATACATATATATACACATATTAAGGAGGAACCACCCCAAAGTTTTTTTTAAGATTTAGGTCAGCACATCCCCTTGATCCTTGTAAGTTTTTTCTCTTTTGTTTAAATACAGTAAGATACATTATAAGGTCCTATCAGGCCATGAGTATCTATCTATCTCCACAGCTAGTAAAAATACACATGGCTTTGTGCACTGTGTGGTTTGCCAAGTTTAAAAGTGCATGATGAGTACTACAGTGATTCTGAATAGCAATGGAGCACTCCTGACAATGCTCATGTTTGCTTTTAAATTTGTGGGGAATAAGGAAATCAGCTTTTCTGGTTGGAGGGACAGAGATTCTTGGGGATCTGATGTGGGGACAAACAGCCACTGTGAACCTGCTAGTTAGAGTGGTCAGTTCTGAGAATAGAAAATATAGAGGGTGCTTAATTGTTAGATAGCTGTCTGTGCTAAAAATGGGGAAATACGTACTAGTGCTGATAAGAAAAAGGAAAGGCTTCAAAGGCTTTAGCTGAGAATATGTACTTTTTAAATTTTAAAACGTTTGTACCTTATCCAAGGAATTTGGACTTCATGTACAACATCAAAGGTAACACTATCAGAGATTAAAACTGGAAGGGCCAACACAGAATTCACTTGTCTGCTCATGTAAGTGATCATTCCTGCAATTTTTCTGCAAGTATTAAAGCATCAATTAAATGTATTGTTCTTCAGTTTCCTTGCACGAGCTGTCCTTGAAATTCAACAAGGACTGATTAAGTGTTTTTAAAGAAAGAGACTATAGACTTGAGTGGCTAACTTGCCTCTGTGGTGACTTTAGGAGCATCAAGGAGAGATGAATATGGGGGTGGATCGTGTTTTGTGTATTGTTTGTTGGGGGAGAGTTATATAGATAAATCTGGTAAACTAATGTCTGAGAATCAAACATGTTTTCTGGATGAAATGCTAGCCTTTAGGTAACTTTTCTTTGTGATTGAGGTGCTTTTTGATAGTCAAATAAGAAATACAGCAGATTCCTCTTTCATGTAAATAGAAGTGGTAGTGTCCTTCTGTTCTGCTTCTGGCACTCAGGGCCTCAATAGACGTGGAGGGTTGCAGAGCCTGGACCATGATTCAGCAGGTGGATAACCAGGATTCCTGCTGCTGCACCTGTCTTCATTTAGAAGATGAAAAGCCTAAGCTGATGTTTTGTGAAATTTTGTAGGGCTGCTCTAATGCAAAAAGTAACAGATCCAGGAGATGGGGTAACTGCAGGCTCTCTATGCTTGCAATTTTAAGGGTGTGTGGGGGAAGTACATGCATCCTCCATAGTGTATAGTGCAGTGTTTAGTTTATGTGATTTGGTGTTCAGATAATGAGATTTTTTTTGGGAGGCATCGCTTATCACAGAATAGTGATCCTATTGCTCTTACATGTTGCAAGCCAGACACTTACAAATGACATTTGAAAGACTGAATTTACCCCTGTGTCTTAAAATGATTGTGGAATCTTTTCAAAGGCTTATTTCTGTGATAGTGTTGTAAATATAAAACATGGAATTAGAAAAAAAAAAAAACGAGTTAGAAAAAAACAATTTATTAAGTAATATCATATAAATAACTTGTTACAAAAATCAATTTGCAAAAAGGCAAATTCATTCTGTCTGTGATAAATTTTTGTTCAAATTGGTTTCTCATTAAATCCTTAAATTTCATTTTTCCTTGTCCCCCAACCCCCAAAAAGAAGCCAGTACAGTGAACAGGAAACATAAGGGAGAGAGTGCACACTTGCCATCTGACCATAATGAATTGCCCATCCACGCTGCAGGAGAGATAATTGTTCCAGCATGGATCCCTTTGCAGCACAGGGAAGCTTCTAGGTGTAAATCTCTTGGGTGACAAAAATCTTATAGCATGCAAATGTCCCTCTAGGCTGAGCAGTGATCAGATCCATCTGATGCTGAGGCTCCCTTGGCACAACCAAGGATGGCATCACCAGGGACTGTGTGCCTGGAGCATGCCAGCAAGTAAATCTTCTCAGGTGGAGGCATCAGTTTCAATTTATGCTTGGCAGTATTTTAATTAAAAAAGATCAATACCGAAAAGCATTTATTTTAAGGGTTTAAAAATCACAAATCGCAATAGGAGTTTGCCAGATTGATTTCGCTCAGCAACACAGTTAAGATGCACATAGCATTTATTATAAGGCCTTTCTTTTAAGTTTAATTTTTCAAAGCAGTGAATGTAATCACAGAATTAAAACAGTACAGTGACTCTGAAGGATTTTTTATGTGTCAAAATCCACAACAATTTTGTGTTTGCAGTGTTGTTTCTTTGTTGTGTTCACCTGAATACTTAATAATTCTATACATTTGTTTCTTTAATAAACACTAAGGTAATAGACCATAGAAAACTAAAAGCTTATAGAAAGTGTCTCCAGATATATTTACATAAATAGTGCAGTCTCATAGGAAAGGTCAAAAGCTCATGGGAGTGGAAAGGATTTCTCTATATGCTGGACGTATGCTTCAATTTGTCAAATTGACTTCATGGAAGGAGAAATTTGAAGTTAGCAGCTCCTAATTTTTTTGTTCCTTTTTTTTTTTCTAAAACCAAAAAAACATGCATGGAAAAAAAAAAAAAAAGAGCAGGCTCTGTAAATACTCCTTTGAATTCCAGTAACTCTATGTATAATATGACATCTTTGTGGCTTTTCAGTGCCATGGACCTGCTTTGTGAGTGTCTGACTACCTCCCTCCCATCCCCCCGTTCAATTAATTTTCTGTTGTTCCTGAAATTCTCAATTCTCTGACTTGCACTCCCTGTAACCCCAGACATGGCTTTTGGATACCTACTGCTGAATTTTATGAACTGTTCAGGAAAGTGTTTAGTGTATGACAAATGCAGGTCTGGGATCAGAAGTGTAGTATTGTGTGTGAAATGATGGACACCATCAAGATTGTTTCAGCTGTGCCTAAATAAAACTACTGAGGGGAGATGTAAAGCTACATCAAAATATTGTGTGGCTGCTATGGGCTTTTTTCCTCCTTCTGGACATTAAATATGCCTTTGTTCCTGTTTAAGTACAGAGAAAATCTCTAAGAAAACAAGTCTTTCTGAAGACTGAACTGAAAATTTTGTAGTTTTGACATTTATTGAAGGAGGCTGCTGTTTCACAGGTCTGGGGAGTTTGGAAAAAAGCCCTGCCTTTCACAACAACATAGTTCATACTTATTGGAAGTAGTGTAATGACTGTTAATTTGCCACCTCTCATTTGATAAGGGAGCTCAGACTGCACTGCTAATTGAAACACAAATGGGCAGGAGCTGGCAGCATCCAGCTGAGACAGTGGTCTTCTGAACACTTCAGTACTACTTACAGCCAAAGGAAGCATGGAGAGATTTAAAACAGATGGTGGCAGGAAGAGCTAATACAGTAGTGTTTGCAAAGTTACCTGCTCACTATCTGTAATTCACCCTGCAGAAGGCCCTCAAGATAGATCAGCTGCGGAAATCTAACATTTTTTAATAATAATCAAGACAAAGGAACTTTCCCAGAGATCTGCATGTAAATGGCCTAGATTTAATTTTCTTGGTCTGAAAAAAGATGATGTCTTTCTTCCTATCCATGTAAGCCTCCCTCTGGCTGCTGCAGGAAATCTGGAAGAGTTAGAAATGACTGTGCACCATTGGTCCTGCTCAAAATGGATGTCTGGTTTTGAAACATGGCCAGCTTCCAATGTTCATCATTTCCCTTCTTTTTATTCATATTGTACATGTGCAGACAAACATTTCCAAAGCCATTTCTCCCTGCTCTACTTCTTTATGACTGTTCTGCTTTTTATGGTACTACAGATATTCAGTTAGTTGGGTTTTGTGGGACTTTTCTGTTTGTTTTCTGACAGAGAAATGGAAATGTTGTGCCTTGTAATGTAGCCTGGTACTTCCAAAAGTGCATTATTTGAAGGTTGCCTCTCCCATTCCTGTTTAACAGCTAGGAAGCACCTGTCCATAAAGTGAAATAAGACCTGACAACAAAAAAAAAAAAGAAAAAAAAGTAAAAAAATCAGAAAAATATATCTGTTTCTTAGGACAAATTTAGAAAATATATGTCTTGGTATAGGTGGAGTGTTGTTCTTCTACTCAGAATATTTCCCAGCATTTTTTTCACTAGCAATAACTTCAAAACCACAAACAACTTGTTTTTCTCATGGTTAGACAGATCTTCATCTATGTCAGGTTTGGGAATACATCCCAGTCCTGTTGTACTATTGCTAGAACCATGTGGGAACCCCAAATTCCCTTGTCCAGAGCTCGCTGGAAGTTTCTGTCTCAGCTCTTTTTCAAGCACTTCTCTACATAGAGATTTCCTGCCACAACAACATTGGAGGCATGTGCTGCTGTGTCTCTCCACACTAGTGCTGCTATGGGATAGAATTAGTTTCAACCTGAAATATTCTTCTGGAGTAAAAAAAAAAATAAAAAATCATTTTTATAGAATAAAGTGGCTGTTTTGGGAACTGAGATGAAATAGCTATATTAGAAACCTTTTTCCATTTCAAGTGTAGAGAGGTTATTGTTCTGCCATAGCAGAAAAGTCCCCCATGTAAACATGCACCTGTTTTGTGTTAACTCCACTGAATTCCTTGGTATCTTTTCATAGGTCCCCTGTTAGATCAGATGTTTTTCCAAATTGAAAGACAGCTGCAATGCTCATCTCTCTACCTGGCTTAGCAAAGCTTCTTAATAATATCTCTTCTTCTTAAATAGGTACAGTTGTAAGAAAATCAGGCTTAAAACAGCCTTGAAAAACACTTCATAGCCCATAGTCTAACACTCGTTTATCTATAAATGACAACTCTAACACTGTATTAAAGCATTCTTAAATATTCATTTCTATCATCTAGTACTCTGGCATGCTACAAAGTGCAAAGAAATACTACTGCAAAGCTTTGTATTCACTGCAATATGGCACTTTCACTATTTAATATGCAGTACTGCATAATTGCACTTTGTGGTACTGCCAAGCAAGAAGAAAAGACAGAATTGAACTCTTCTTGCTGTGTGAGAGATGCTAAATCTGTCTAATTTTCAGGAAAAAATAGACCTTAAAACCTAGGTGCATAAATAATAATTTGGATGCAAGTTTGCCTTGAACTTTCTTAGAAGAAAATTTGCTATTCAGGCACCATATTTGTGGTGACATAACAATTTTCTATGTAATATATTTACAAAACAGGCATGATTAGCCACTCTGTTACTTACTGCACCATGCAATGGACAAGAGCAAAACAGCTTTCAATTAAAAATAAAAAGGAAAAAAAACAAATGAAACTTGCGCTTGGACTGCTACTAACAACCACTAAATCAGACAAAACCACTGTACGAACATAGGAAACTAGTTACAAGGAGGTGAGTGATCCTCCTGTTGTTTTTTCCACCCCAAAGAATGACTAATGAAAGTTGACCTGCAGGGTGGCCCAGCCCTTTCAGTGTGTAAGGTCTGTCTTCAATCAGATGACAGTGACAAGTCAAGCACCCTTCTTCCCTGTGAGCTGGGGGTGGCTTGCAGGGCCAAATATGCATGCAGTTTCACAGCCACCTGTGTCATTCCCTCCATTAACAACTCTGTTTCCTTAGGGCCTGAGGAGAGGAAGAAGCACTGGCTCACTTTGGGTGTCCAGCTGGACTCTGAGCTTGAGGCAACGCCAGGCAGTGAAGGGTGAGACAAAGGTGTGTTAGGAAGCCACTGGGAAGAGCTCCCTAGGGGTACACTGTCTCCACTGAGTGAATGAGGAAAACAGCCCAAAGTGAGGGACATATGGCAGGTGGTGCTGAGCATCTGTTGCTCCTCCACTTATCTGAAATCCAGATATGTGCCAGACCCAGGTTTTGGACAGGTTGCCTTCTGGAAGTTCTGATTTCAAGGAATCCATGAAGGGCTAGACTTTCACAGGCTTTTATCATCTTAAATTACTGAAAGGCCCACAGAAGGACATAATAAAGACCTCATTGTACCACTGCCATTGTGACAGGTGCAGCAGGCTCAGCCTCCCTAAGCAATAGAGTTGGGCACTTTGTTCTGCCGGACTGAAGCACTGTAAGAGGCCCACATCAGGGAGACCAGGGGCTGCTCAGGATCCTTGGAAACACTGGACTCCTCCACACTGAACATCCACCTGCCTGTCATGCTGGGCATCAGCAAGCCATTAGCTGCTTTGCCCTAAACCTACAAATGTGCAGTGCTTTCCACTGCAGAATTGTTCTTCTCAGTCCCAGCAAGGCACTGCCATATGGCTGGCTCGTCCTTTTCACTGGGACTGTTTCACAAAACCTGAAATTATGTCGTCATGTTTGTAGAAGTCTAATACTTGTGAATTTTACTGCTCTTTCTGTTTAAATGTCTGGGAGTAATGAATTCCAGGGATTATTTTTTAATCCCTTTTAATTTTCTCTTTATTAACTTTTTCCCCTTCTCTATATTTAGAGTAAATTGGAGCTGTTGTTTAATTTTTAAACTGATTCACTTAAGATTCAGGAGAGGAGGAAAATAGATCCCTGCCTGTGATACTGGTATTAAATACTGTTTCAAAAGTAAATAAATGAGATTAGTTATGTATGAGGTATATTAAAAAAAAATAAAAACATCTTCCTTGTTTCCTTGGCACCATGTCATGGGCTGGGTCCCTGCTTTGGGACTCAGGGTGGCTTTTAGCTCCTGGAATTGGATGTCCCATGGCAGTCCCTTAGGGTTTCCTCCAAATAACCTCTTCTAGATGGCTGGATTTGAAAAGCAGCAACTGCATGCGTTTGACAGACCAGCAGAGATACTAAATGGTGCACAAGCTGTAAAAAAAACCTGTTTTGGCCTGAGACTACAGCATCTTCCCTCACCCCATCCCTGGACCAAAATTACTTAGCTTGGCAAAGTGGATAAACAAACTTACACAGTGAGACTTGTGATTAAAGTTTTACCTTTTGGTGAAGTCTTTAACAACCCTGGCTAAATAGGTTATTAAAAAAAAAAACAACAAACAACCTATAGTTATAGACCCTACTTTTCAGGCTGTTGGAATGACAACTGATTCTTACTTACTTGTGCATACAGGGCTTGACTCTGGAAATGAAACAACCGCCCAAAAGCATGAGACATTACTTCCTCTGGCAGAATACCATAATTTTCCATCTCTAAAACATTTTCCAAATGACTTATATAATCCTTGCAACATCCTGATGAGGTAGGCACTATTTCCCCTCTTTACAGATAGCAAAACTAGGCAAAGAGTCAGTCAGGGATCCACCCTGGGCATCCAGGCAGGGGAAGATCAGGACAAAATAAACACCCTTTCCTCCTTTGCAGCTGCTCCTTTTGTCCCAGTGGGTGCCAATCCCCTTGAGACTACCACTCCTCTCCTCCATGTGAGAACAGGCTGAATATAAGAAGCCTGACTCACACCTCCCCAGTGCAGTGGCCATCACTGAACTGATGTGCAGGTGAAGACTGACTAAAGAAGTACAAAGAAAAACAAAGTTATGATCTGCTCCTTCCTCCAAGTCATGACCTAATCTGGGGTTGAATTAGATGATTTTCTCCATCTCACAAGGCAAGTCTGGGTTAGAACTGGGAAATAATCTAAGAATTAGATATTGGGGCTACTGATCACGCACACACATCTCTCCAGCAATGCTAGGTCAGAAGAATATATACATAGCAGTCAATGAACTATATATATGTGTGTGATAGTATGATTCAGTGCACTGGGGGCAATGACAAGTCCTAGAAAAACACTTAGGTTTAAATGACCATTAGGCCTTTCTACCCTTCTAATGAGAAAAATGCATGTTTGATGTTTTTTGTCTCAGCTTACTCTACTTGTATAAAAAACCTTCATTCCATCACCACTACTTTTGGCTATAATACATAGGGTAAACTAGGGTACCTCATTACATTGGGATGTGCAATACACAATCAACAGAGCAGTCATCTGAGCTGAATAGTCTGAATACAAGTAAAAAGAGCAAGTGAGCTTAAATAGTAGTATATTCCAATTTACAATATAAGCAGAATGAGTAAAAACATTGCTCCCATCGGATCCTTTTTTCCCCCTCCAATACTGCCATGCCTCTAAGATTGGCTTGGTAAACTGGATGCAGTGAAAAATAAGAATTCTGCCTCTTGGAAGCTCATAAAATGATACTAGAAAAAGTTTTCTGATGGCTGATCCACACAGACTGCAATCATTAGACAATTTGAGTGGGTAGAACAGAGAACCCTTTCACACAGCTCTGGAGAAATAGAAAAAAATAGCCACCTCACATTTCTCAATGCTGTTTCTGAAAATGAGGAATGGAAACAAAACGGAAGAGAAAAAAGGCAACATATTAAAAGTCTTTGTCACTGTCCATTGCGCCATACATATCTGCCAGCTTTTTAAACCGAGGTCCCCAGTCACTGAGGTAATCATAGTCCTGATCTCCATCCGTAGTCACCGACTCCAAGGAGCTGAGGGACTCAGCCACAGAACCATTACCTTCGTACGCGTAGGTTGCTAACGAGTCGTACGGGGGTGCCGTTGGATCTATATCATTTTCCTTTAACCTTTGGTTAATGAAATCTCTGACATCCGTGTTATCTCGCACTGTGGCAGTCCGCTGTGGCATAAAAAGTGTTTCCGGCACAATGTCTCTGCGGAATTTATTATCGTCTATGGCTTCGGGATTTCTCAGCGTGCCGATATCAAATGCCTGGGTATCTTCCTCTCCACCACCTTCATCATTATAACTGACAATGTTGTCTCTGATGTCTTCTTTCGAAATAATCAAAGGCTCTTTTTTCCGCTGCCTTCTCAGTGCTGCAAAAAGCACCACTGTAACTGGAAACAAAAGTAACAGGAAGAGAAGGGAAAGGTTAATCCCTAAATCCATTAAAATCCAGAAGAAATGCTGTGCTTCTGCTTGAATATGAAGTTTTAAAAGATGTTTTGCAAAACTGCAAATGTGCACGTCAGGTTTTCAGGCTTTGTATGCTCTGGGAGTACCTTGGGAGATGAAATGGCATAGATGTGCACTAGAAGAAAGGAGATGTCAAGCTTGTAAGAAGCCAAGTGGAGTGTGTTTTTGTCAGTAGGCCCATTTTTACCCAGAGTCATACAGTAGTTCTGTTGCCTTGAGAACAGAACTAGTTTCATAAGAGCTGGGAAGGAAGAAACACTTTCTTCAAAATAAGTAGCATCAGATGTTATTTACCTTGAACCCCTGGGAGAAGATGCAACTTGTTTTATGGACAAAGCTAGTACCTACTGGGCTATGGTAAAAGGTTAGCAAAGCTGCATTTCAAGATAAGTAAATCTATCCTCCTCTAGAAAAAGATTTGAATATGGAGTGGGTTTTCAGACATCACAAGGTCCAAGTTTTATTAACTTCACTGGCATGTTTTTACAATGTACATCACCTTAAAAAGTATAATGGCTTAAATCTTAGACTGATGAGATATGGTAATGGTATATTTTAATCTGACAAAAGCACGAGATTTCTCGAACAGATATTTTATGCCTTTCATTCTAAAATGTAGGTGTGTATACATGTATTTTTTATTTATTTGAAGGGCAGGAACAGTCTCCAAGGCCAAGATCCAAATTTAAATATTTTTACTCAATAATAATCCTGGTACTGATGGAGAAGTAGACACAGAGGGAAGAAGGGGATATGTTCAACAGTTCATGTCCTTCAGAAGCTAATTTCAGATTTCTTAGCTGGATTCTACTTTAGGATACTGAAAGGCTGAATATTTACAAATGAGCAGCAGAAAGGAGCATGGATGTATTGCTACTGTCACTGTTGCTTTGGTAGTCTGAGGTCCACAGTGCCTGGTATTTCAGCTCTGCTGTGTAAACTCCAAGAAAAGGCACATCTTGCGGTCTTTATAATTCTTTCATAGCAAAGCAAAGCAAATCAGAAAATAACTAAGCTCACTGATACGAGATTATACGGTGGATCAAAATTATCTTTCATATAATGTGTTTCTAAAACGGTGTGTGAGTCAAAGCACAGTAGCCATTAAAGACTTTTTTTTTTTGGCAGTACCTTCCTCATTTATAACCTTTCTAAGGGCAATGCCAAGGATTAAGGTCATCCCTCAAACAAAATTTTAGCCCATTGAAACCTGTCTGTCTTAGCTTCCTTCAACAGGCAGTAAGACTATTTATTTTATTATAATGATGGGTTCCCCTGCAGGATTGCTTAGAGCAAGATATTATCTGTAGGTGTGCTCAAGCATGTTGTGGAAGAGTCTTATGCTCTTGCTCTCAGTTTACTGACTATAGAGGGATTCTAAGAAGATAGGATAAAGAAGAAAGGTGCTCTAATTCCTGTTGTGTCTTTACCATAGGAATAGTGTGAGTAAGGGAAAACATCAGTTAATGAGTTGAAAGGAAATAAGTAAGGTGGTGAAACTGAAGGAATTAGAAGTGTTTCCGATAGTGAAAGCTTCAGGCTCTCAACCTAATGATGAGGATTTACTTACGGTGTTACACAAGGGTCCTAATCCAAGTGATGCTTCTTTGTGCTTCTGTGTAAAAATGCGGTAAGAGAGAATTCTCTTCCTTAAGAGCATAAAACTGTGACACTACATGGGAGGACTGGAGAAAGGTCTATGTGAGAAAATAGAGGGAGCTGGAGAAGATTTTGAGAACTTGAGAAACACAGCCTCAATTTTATATGGGCACCCAGGATAGCGATCAGTAGAACTATATGAGAATAATATCATAGGAATGATAGCTTTTATGTGGAAGGGTTGCTGAAGTATCATCGACAAAAAAAGGTGCTACTCAGAATATGCAAGGTTGAGACTTTGATTATGCCACTTCTGTGATACTTGGATTTAGTTTTTTTTTATTTTGTGTTGAACTTGCAGGCAAAAACCCCCAAAACATTAGAAGTTCTATGTTAAAGCACCTAATCTTTATTTGCATGTCAGTGTTTAACAGTATCTGAGGTCTCCTGATAAGCTGCTAGACTTACTTAAACTGCAACTAAACCTAACAATTTACAGGCATTTTTTGTTGCTGCTAACTTTTAAGCTGTGGTTTGGGTCTGCCCAGAGTATTGTTTTACACTCAGCAGTGGTTGCACATTTAAACCCTGCAAGAGTCTCAAAATAGAAAATTATATAGCTGAGTTAATTGAAAATCTGCTTATGGTGCATGGTGGCGTGAGCAATAATAGACATAAAGTGCTGCATAGCACACAGAATCACTTATTTTCAATTGACATAAAACAGGAAATCATTTAATGTCAGATTGATATTAATGAGCACAGTTGTACTAACAAGTGCAAGACTACCTGCAGCATTAGATTTCTTTTTCTGGTAAGGAGCTTGATACAAAGTGATCTCAGCTCTTGGAGGAAATGATATGATGTTTTGAAAAATTAATTGAATGGTGAATTAAGGGTAAGATTGTTATTGTGGGAATCTTTTATGAAAATGGGATAGTGCTTATTTGGGCAAACCATGACTATATTGCCAAAGTCTGAGAATCACAACATAGTCTTTAACTCATCACTAGAGAGGGAATTTTGCTAATAGTAAAGATCAGGATGATTCTGCAATGGCGATGAACATGTCCAAGGAAAATATGAGTATAGTAGAAAGAAGCAGAATCACTGAGGAAACGTTTTCTCCCCTGCTTGGCCCTCCTGCAATAAAACTGGCCTGACTCCCTTCTTTCTTAGCCAGATATTAAAGGTGACTAACATCATCTTCCTGAGAGCTGCCTGTGTTGTATCATGCAGCTCTCCCCAGATGAACAGACTTTGGCTAATGGCCAAGGGACTGTTTCTCCTGTGCAAAACGGGCAAAACCTGAAAGGAATGTAAGAGATTTTGCAATCTGTCTTTATTTTTATTTAAAAAAAAAGTTGACCACCTATAAGTGCTGTATCCAGAAATCTGTATATCCTCCACATTCAGGATCCAACTGTTCATATTTGCAGGTGTTTGAAAAGGAGGACTCTACAGCTTTTGAGGGAGTGCTTTAGTAGCCACTCCATTTCAGCATCCTTTTTCAGCAGAAGTACTGAGACTTGTTTCTCCTCAGTTTACATGTGGGAAGTTAATTTTTTTTAAATGGAATTACCTGTCCTCCTTCTGTGGTCAGCAAGAAATAGACACCTGCATTGGTTTAGTCTGGTCCACCTCAGATAGCAATATGGGGATGGGATCAGTGTCTAGAAGTGCCTGTCTCTTTCCATTGACCAGAGGGTGGAGCTCAGTTGCCTCCTCTTGTTTTGACATTGCAGACTTCTAGATATCTTAGATGTGTTCCGCACACCATATGTGTAAGCGGCCCTCAGAGGAGGAAGTACAATAATAAAAAAAGCAGGATAAAACAAGGATGACTTTGCTTTGTTCTTGTCCTAGCCTTGTTATAATCACTTGTAGCAATGCAAAATAACCATGAAAAGAAGAAAATGCCTCTGAGCTACTTACCAAGTAATATAATGATACAGAGAAGAATGGCAATAAGAGCCCCAGTGCTTAGACCGGTGGGATGAATCAAGGCTTCAGCATTACAGGACAACATCTTTCCTCGGTGGTCACAAGCACATACTCGAATAGTCACTGTTTCAGTGCTGCTTTGGATAGGGTAGTCATTATCTGATATTACCACTGGCAAGAAGTAGGTACTCGTTTCATGCCGGTTATATCTGTTTTTTCGGGTGAAAATCCCTGCTGTGTTGTCTGGAAACACAAAGCATGCATTAAATCTTCATCTGAAGACTGAAAGCAAGGATGAGTTAATAAAGAAAAGTCTTCCAAGAAATTTACCTCTGTTGTCCTGCAGTGTAAAGTTTGAGGTGGTGGCTGCCTCAGGAGCTAAGGAGAATGAAAACTGATGTCCACTGTAAGAGTCATCTTTATCAACAGCACTTAATGTTTGTATCAGCTGAAACAATAAGAACAAAATTATCTTCAAAATCAATAAATGTTATTTATGTACTTTATGATTGTAAAGAAATCTTTTTATATATTTTTATTTTTTCTTCTGCTTTAAGGCAGCTGATGCTGCTATGGCTAGCTTAATAAAAATGATCCATGTGCTGCTGATGCTATTTAGGATCACCACACTGTTGTAGCCCATACCACCAGCCTGTAACACGATGAATTTGAAAGTTGGCAGGAAAATCATATTGAATTCAAGAGCAGTCTTGAGCTGATGCCCCTCCAGATGGGTAGCAAACCTTTGCATGTGACAAGAAATAGAGACAAAAGGTGAGACAGTCCAAGCTGACTACACAAATCTCATGTCACAGGAACTGTTTTTCTGAATCTTCCAAATTATCTGCTACTTTGAACCATTTAGCAATAGGACTGGTAGTGTGAAAATTATATGACAGGAAATAGTTATATCGTAGACAGGACCTGTAACAAATACAAACCTGAAACTTAAAGGAGGCAGTGGAGGTGCCTTAATAAAGCAGAGAATTACAGAATAAAAATGAATCAGGGATAACAAGGTGCAGTACAGAAAACAGCAGTCTAAAACCTATTGTCACATTACCTGCAAGAATGCTAAGTGTAATCAGATACTGTGCAGCCACTCTTTAATTTGCAAACCCAACAATGTGATGCAATGCAAAGTATACCTCTTGATGAGGTGATGAAAGAGCAGTAGCAAAACTCAATTAATTTGGTACATTTTCTTGTTACAAGTAAGCATCATACCTGTTCTGCCTTTGCATTTTCACAGACAAAGGTCTCGTAAAACATGGCAAACTCTGGAGCGTTGTCATTTACATCCAAAACCTTAATGAACACTGGGACACGGCTGCTTTGTTTTGGGTTGTCTGAAATGGTAAAATCAGAAAGATGAAAGATTTTATTTAGCCCATCTACTGACTCAGTGCAGGAGAAGAAAAGGACAGACTTATGGGCTCAGTGCCTTAAATTGTCTTAGTCACAACACTCCACTCATATTCTGTTGATTTCTTGGGAATGCATTATGGGGTGAATTCCACAAATCATGCTGTGTTATCATTACTCTGATTCTGTGTGAACTATACATTTAAGATTGGGTGGGAGTCCTGGATTTACAAATTCTTTTGAATGCTTCGAATGATTATGAATGCATGTGTGAAATCTACATACACATAAATATAATTCTGAAATTAAATTAAATTTATTTATTAACCTAATACAGTTTTGTGGCAACAAAGTTTCTAGAACATATTCATCGAATCATAGAAACAGCTAGGTTGGAAAAGACCTTTATGATCATCAGGTCCAACTATTACCCCAGGACTGCCAAGCCCACCACTAAACCATGTCTGTATGGGCCTTGTCAACACATTTCCTGAACACTTCCAGGAACAGTGATTCTACCACTTCCCTGGGCATCCTGTTCCAATGCCTGACGACATTTTTGGTGAAGAAATCTTTTCTAATATCCAGTCTAAATCTCCCCTGGCACAGCTTGAGGCCATTACTTCTTGTCCTATCACTTGTTACTTGGGAAAAGAGACCAGCCACCCCCCTGCTCCATTCTCCGTTCAGGTAGTTGTAGAGAGCTATAAGGTCCCCCTGAGCCTTCTCTTCTCCAGACTAAACAATCCCAGTTCCCTCAACCATTCCTCATCACACTTGTGCTCCAGACCCTTCACCAGCTTTGTTGCCCTTCTTTGGACCCGTTCCAGCACCTCAATGTCTCTCTTGTAGTGAAGGGCCCAGAACTGAATACAGTATTGAAGGTCTGGCCTCACCACTGCTTCACCAGTCCCTTCCTTAACAGGAAGAATGAAAAGTTGTGAAGATTGGATTGAGTGACTTTTTTTTAATCCCCTCTCCACCTCATATATAATATTCTGCCCCTTACAAATCTCGGGACACAGTTCCTTAAGCTATCATAATTATGTTTTTAATATATATTATATATATATATCATATATATTATATAGATTATTATGTTATATAAATAGCAACTGTGGCTGTGATCACAAATAGTTTCTAATCTGTTTTGAATTGATTTGGCTGATATTCTAAAGTTAACACTAAAAGATATCATTGAAGAACAGAAGCACTATATAGAATCTGCAGATCCCATGTAAACATGTTTTTTTCCTTATAGAGACTGTATAGTGCCAAAAGTTTGAATTTGACAGGGATATTCTTGAGCACAAAATACTGAAGAAAATGTTGTCATCTTTCTAAATAAAAATGAAAAAGTTTGGAAATGCACCAGATTGTATAGACCATTCCTTATCCTGTTGGACCATTCTTTTCCCTGTTGGGGTGAGACAGGCTTTAGTCCTGAAGATTTCATGAAGAAATAAGGAAGAAAGGCAACAGGCAGCAATCTTGCCTAGGAGCTGGCTAGAATGGTGAAATAGTCAATATTCTGAGGCAAAAAGGCACCACTGACTGCTAAAAGGTACAAGATCTGCCCTCAAACCATTTTGTCAACACCAGTCAAAGGGAAATCAAAAGACTTTGCCAGGACTCAATCTCTGTCTTTTGTGCTCTACATGACATAAAAATTGTCTAGGCCAGGTCACCCAGACATACCCACCTCCGTGCCTGGGAATATGTAGTTGTGGGAATGTGAGAGAGTGAAATCTATAAGGGAATGATTGTGATCAAAATTAGTTTCATTTAAAATAAATACATCCCCCCTCCATTTCATAAGGGCTCACACTGAGTTTTGCTACATTAATTTCCTACCCATATTAATATAGTTTATTAATGCATTTTAACCAATGATTCAAAGGGGAAAAAAAAAGTGCAATAAAATACAGCCGATCTAAGACTCTGTATGATTCTGCAAGCATTCATTATAGTAGCTTGTGGTGTTAGGCTTTAATAAAAGTCCTATTACTGTGTTTATCATACTTTTATACATCTGAAAAAGCCTTCTCCAAAATTGGGACTGTATATTTGTCTTACAGAGCTCAGTCATTTTGACAAAATATTGTGCTTTAAAGCTCCATAGTCCCATTGAAGTTAATATGATTCCATTAGGCATAAACCACTTTCTAATATGAACCATCGGGCTAAATTCATTCAGTGTATTAAATAACAGTTTATGTATAAGATAGATTAGACTGAATGTTATGCTAAAATGCATCAATACAAATCTTGAATTTTTATAATAGGCAGAAATCAAAGGTACTCATTTGAAGTTGCAGGACTATTGGCAAGACTGTTTTATAAGGGCATAACTTTCTAACAAATACATTCAAATATATTGGCAAATGTATTTCTTCTCCTCTCAAGAACTACAATTGTTTTCTTTTCTGCTTTTTGAACCATGAATCACATCTTTTCATTTTACTTCTACATGCTTAAGATTTTGACAATTTAAAATGATACTGTAATAAATAGAAATATCATAAAACCCCTCTATGCTCTATGGGCATGGGCCTTTCTTCTGATTTAATGGAATTGTAAGTCAAAATATATATACACATCTTTAAGCCTTTTTTTGTCATCTTTCAAATTATTTTTGCAAATTAATTGATGTAATTTATTTTTTTTTTCATTATCCTTTAATTACCACTGGGGTCCATTTCCAAAAAGAAGCTCTACAGACTCAACAAACTGCTTACATCTATTCATCTCTGTAGTGATATGCTTTTTGTTGAGAAAGCAACCAAACTGCTAAAGTTCTTTTTCTGAATATAAACTCGAAGTCCTGCCAATATTTGATTTAAACTTAAGGGTTAAGAAAGAATATTTAAAAATACTCCAGGGATTCTCTCTGGTAAATCAGCTGTAATTCTGCAGCTGTGAATGAGTAGCTTTGTGTACTGAATTTTATTGCCAGTTTGCCTTCTGACTATGGCAGATGTACCGACCCAGTGTTTCACCAGCTATATGTCTGCAGCATTCACAGCATAATTCTCTGGGCTGCTGAGCACACTACAGCTCATACTGTGAAAAAGAACATAAAAAAAAATAAAAGGAGCTAGCTACACTTACTGACAATTCTAGACAATTAAAGGCCACGAAGAGTTGTCACTGAAACATGCTTCTCTTTATGGCTTTATCTTTTTTCCATATCAAAGGGAGCACCCATGCATCTGACTGCACATCCTGCCTGTAACTTGACTGGATATTTATTTTAGATAACTTCAGTGAAATATACCTGGAGTTTGATGTGATACTATGTCACTGAGAGCAATCAGAGATTAGCTGGAATTTAGTTGGATAGGACTTCAGCTAGCCTTGCTAGAAATTACTGGTTTTGCCTACGAACATTAAGGAGTACTTTCCAGCCTCGTCTCTTGAGACTAAAATTAATGAAGTAGCCTGGATCAGACCAAGGCTTGTTTAAACAGTAGCTGTATTTCAACCAAGAATATTGCCTTTGGAAGGGATCTACCCCAGTTATGCCGAATTTGATCCAGGCTCAGTGAAGCACAACCTGGGGAGTAATTTCTTGTGGCCTGGAAAGATCCAGACTGAAGAGTAATTAAGACAGAATCCTCTGTCAGACACAAGAGGTTTCGCTGTGATGGTCCAGTAGAAGGTCTGTTCTTAGGGGTGAAGTCAAGGAGCTAAACGAGTATTTCATATAGATGCTAAGCTGATTTTCAGGTAGTATATTGTTCTGTATATTTTATATTATTTCAGCTTTGCTGGGGTCAGTGCAACTGTGCTTCCTAAATATTCTTGCTGTTCTTTCCTTTTTAGGTGGTTTCCCTCTTCCTCCTCTGTCCAGGAGCTATCTGTAGCGTGCAACTTTTGACCTACCATCACTTCTTTAGACTTAATAAAAACACAAACACCTGACTAACAGTCGGCCAGAAGTCAGTGTTTGATATGCTGAAAACACCTGCGTAGCATTAAAATGTGCAAACTTTCAAAAGAGGGGCAAAAATATTAAGAAACATCATTCCTGTAGAGTCTAGTCCACAATGCTTTCATATAACCCCATGTGCTTGCCTCAGTAGTATTGTTTCACATCAGCTTTCAGTTTTAAAAAGATCTACACAATAAGGAAAGCTGGAGTCAAGTAAGTATTCTTTAGGTGCACTTCCAATGCCAGTTTCAATATTCAACAATCATGTTCAAAATTAAAAATGCCTATTACCGATTAGAAAACACACAATTGTTGCCTTTCCTTCCTACTCAGTTACTTCATGAACTGTTTCCCTAGTAAACACAAAATTGCAGACCACTTCTTGCAGAGTTTCTGCTTCTTCATTAGCATTGAGTGGACTATACATAAAACCTGACATCTGTCCAGCTGTGCTTTTCCACATGCTCAGCTAGAAGGCTAAATTCATTACATCAAAGACAGCAGTGGTATTTAGGTTTGACTTACTGATCTCTGCTGCTATTACTGTAATGTTGTGCCATAGCAGTGTTTCCCGGTCAAGGGGTTTTGAAGTAAATATCGAACCGTTTCCTGAATTGATGTTGAATACTCTGTCCATATCAGTGTGTCGATCTACAGAATACCTGCAAATACAGAGAAAGTGGTTAGGCGAACGCTTTCCTTTTAATTTCTATGTTCTTAAACCATTTTCTAAGACTAGACATCAAACAGCTTGTAAATGGGTTTGCCTTTTGTTTTCAGCACAGGATTCAGAGTCTTTATATATTCACACAAAGAGCTGGTCTCAAGCTACTGTATAATGACACATTGGAGGTTTGATTTAGAAGGTGGAGCACTGTCACTGAATAAATGAATTACTGCGGAATTTACATACCTCTGAGAATCATCAAAGCTTTGTTTTTAGTGAGAAATGTGAAGTCTGTGTCCTGAAAGATATGAAGTCTATTTTAAGGCTGAGTTGGCTTTCCCTTTATAAACCCCTGTTTTTATGGTTTGATATCTCAACTGTTCCAGATAATTTCTGATATAAAATTTGACAGCTGGAGTGCATTTCTGCCTTTCACTTCCCAGTGTTTAAAAAGACTGGTCCCTGCCCCCAGACAAGTCAGCATGGAATAGATACTCATTATTCTATGGTACATATCACATAAAGGTTTGCTATAGTTCATTAAAACTAACATGCTCAGCCCTGGTTGATGGTATCTAGATGTGAAAGTGAAAGCTATCAAGCTCTGGAGGAGCTCAGCATCTATAAACAGATTAAAATTTTCAACCTGATCTTTCACTTTTTTCTGCTGAACTGACTCCAACTTTAAAAGCAGAGCTCTCCAGTTCACAGGAGAGTGTGCTGCCACCTTGATCCAAATACTGTGATTTGGTTTAATCTATCATGAAGTCCTGCCTAAATTATGGAGGTTTTGACAGAAATATGTCTCTGATGTTGCTAGAACAAGACTGCAATTGCATTATTTTGCTCTTGTTTCAAGCCCATGTGTGTGCTGTTGTACAATACAGGACAGAGTTATAGGAGGCCCAGTGTGCTCCCTTGGTCTCCTTGCAGGACAGGTCAATGGAAATAAGGCAATTGCTAGCGCTTGTGTCCAGACAGGGGTAAAGACATGGCTGAATTGGCATGCAGTCAGATGAAAACTGGGCCAGGAGAATGACTGGCAGAGTTTACTGCCGCTATAGAATTGAGGGGAATGTAGAGACTGAAGAAAAATTTCTATTCCCTGCTGCACCCTAGGAGGAGCTGTGTGACATGTTGCTCACTCTGCACAGATTTCCCAGTGCCTGTGCAGTGTTTCAGAAAGATCTGGCATGGAAGACAGAGGGAATAGAAGAACCTAGTTGAAACGTGATTCTGACAGAGGTTTAAAATGAACTAACTTGCTAATTATCTTGTAATTGCAGTTTTTTTTCTTCTTTGAAATAAAAAAGAATAGGATATATCCACAGCAAATAAATTGGCCTTATTCTAACATAAGAATTTTAGTGTAGCCTATCTTTCTAAACAAATAGCAAATATTAATTGTTTGCACTAAATTGTTTTTTTTTTCCACATTAAATTCCTATGAAAACAACCAATGAGAGTCAAAGGTACTCTCATGAAAAGCTTTTTTATTTCAGTAGGACTTGCATGGACACACCTTGTTACTTCTTCAGGTGTTGATTTAGTTTTTATTTGTTGCTGTCACTTGACTAACAGTACTGCAATTTCAGCTGCACAAAGTCAGCTGTGGTGTCACTAATGTAAATCCTTTATGCAGCATTGTAATGTTACCATCATCTTGAAAAGATTATGTGAGGAGGTACCTAAAAGACAGTGCTGATAGATGGGACAGCTCCAGCAAGCTATGTTGTTTTGTCCAAATCTAAATAGCACATCTGATTCTGTTGACTTAGCTGAAATGTTTGATGGAAATAAGTTTATACAAACCAGTCTGACTCTTGTATTTTGACTAAGTAAGTATTTGATATGGTAAACATTTCATTTTAACTTTCATCCATTCAGGCTTTTATAGGATATTATGTTGGTATTTCGTGAATTCAATTATTTTTCAGATATTCTGTACCTCATTTCCATATCTTTCAGCTGAAATACTTTGGTATTTCCATTTTGCAGTAAATCTAGATTTTGTGCTCCTATTTGAAATTAAATATCAGGATTTTCCATAGTTTAGCTGTTACAGCCAACTGCAATAGTACGTTTCAGGCTCTTATTCAGCAAGACATTTAAGTAAGCAACTAGCTTTAGGCATGAGTTGTCCATTTGTTTGTTGCTTTTTTTCCCCCTTATTTTTTTGCTCACGCTCCATGTTATGAATGGACATAAAATGTCTTGTTGCCTTAGCACATTTTAATGACTGGCCATATTGCATTCACTATCTTTATAAGATCACCCAAATTCAATCTGTGATACAGCGTCTGGAAGAAAAAGAAACAAACAAAAAGACAAAAATTGTTCTGGACTTTTCAGTTTCTGGCAACTAAGGTTGCCAGAGCTGTAACACTGAGAACTTCTTCGAGACACTAAAAATTATAAAATCTAAATCCTTGTAAAACTATGTATATTCAGTCATTTGTACAGTGGAAAGTTAAAATCACAAAAAAAAAAAAAAAACAAACACCCAAAAACCAAAAAACGAGCCAGAGAACAGCTTCTTAATGAAATGTTAATTTTATTTCTTCATATTCAAAAGAAAATACATACAAGGTCAATGCAGTTAAAGTATATTCTAATTATACCATTAACCCTGGACCAGAAGGATGATTTTAATAAGCTAGACTGTCGCTTCTGTTTCTCAGTTTGTATAATCCGGTCTCTTTTGATCAGGGACTGTTAATTATGCTGAATTGGTGGTGATTCTGACTTACAGATCATAACCCAGTAAGAATTAAACAGGCAACATCAAACCCGTTTTTACATTTATTTAATGAAATTACTGGTGAATATTTGTCAGATTTCAGGACTTCATTCCTTTCAGGCCTTGAGGAATTGACAAGGTAAGAAGTTAAAAGGTATGTAGATTTTAGTTTCTCCTTGTACATAACAGGTAGGGGAGGGTGAAAGAGAGAATCTAACACATGCAAATATGTTGTCAGTAAAATACACAAACAAAATTAAGCCTTACATTTGTTTGCAGATCATTTTCATCTGGGATACTTTAGTAAATCAAATCACAGCAGGGAGACAGTTCCAGTGACTGATGAACTTCATTATGCCTCTGAGGAGTTACCATAGCAAAAAAAACTCAGCTAGCAATTTACAAAGATCTGATGTACAGTACAGCAGTGCCAGTTGCAGTGTTGGGTTTTGTTTTGTTTTTTTTCATTATGCAGTGGTTCATAATATTTTGGTTTAGAGCAAACACAAGCAGAATGAAAATCTTTTTATAACAGAGCTGGACAGTGGAGTGTTACTCAGGAGTGTATTAATGTAACTATGCATGAATGGATATCCAAATATTGCCAAACATCTATCGGTGTATTTTTGTATTTTCTTAACGTCACACTACAAGTAAAGCTTATTTATAAGGGCTGAACTGATGAAATGTAACTCTACCAATACACAGGTCATGAATGGTTACACAGTTTTGCAACCAGGGCAGGTATCCGCTTCATATTTTGCTGTAGCTTCATTGTCTTCTGATGTTCAGCAGCTTGCAGTCTAAAGTAACCACAAGTCAGGAAGATTTGTGGGTCAGGAAGGGATGTGTGTGTGAATTTTTCATAATGCATTTTCATAATGATATTGTGAAGGTTTCCTTTAATGGAAGATCAAAGGGGCTTTCATCTAACAGAGTTAGTACTCTGTTTAAAAAGAGAAAACTTCACTCAAGTAGAGGAGAAAATAGAAGGTTTTCATTGTAATATCAAGTGTCTAAAGATTTTATTTTTAGCCGTCAAGAAAAATTGACAAGCAAGTGACAAGTCATATATATACAGTATAATTGCATCTTCCCTGAAGCTCAAAGTGAAAATCAGATTTAACATCTCTATTGCATGATGGAAAAAAAAATAAAAATCACCCTGTCAAAAAGATGCAGAGTCAACCAATGCCCCTAAATTCTAGGAGATACCCAGGATATTAGCACCACAAAATTACATTTGTTGCAAGCTAACATCTCTTAGGCTACTGCTCTCTGCTGATTTCCTTCCCCTCTCACTGATTTTCATGTTTCTTCTTGCTGTGTTTATTTCTATTATTCTAACCCCTTCCTCAATTTTTTTTCTCCTTTCACCTTGCTGTTGCATGTTATTAAAGAGACAAGTTTTCCACTGCACTGCATCAATTTTGATGCCTCTGCTAAATTTTGCTCAATAATTATCTGATACTTTAATATGCAAAGTACCTATACTGTATTAAAGAACTGCCCTTTGAAAGATAGGTAAATTTTAGCACACACATTCAATTAATACAAAAGAGCCAGTAGGCAGTACTCAACAATGAACAGCATAATCCCTATCCACTCTAAATCACCTATAATTAGGATCTGGTGTGGTGCAAAAGGAAAATGGTTGTAGTTAACGCCACAGGGAAGCAGGAAAGCACTCCCTTCACTCTCCAGTGCCACTGCATATAAAAAGGCAGATTCATGTGAAGACTGCAATGGGCCTGGGTGCCACCCCAACCAGTTCTTCCTCTTCGTGCTAGCATGCCCATGAAGACATGCTATGGAGGCTGTTCATTCTGTTTCTGGGCTTCACCAAAGCCAACAAAACACTATGTTACTCTTTGGGTTACTATGCTCTGCTAGTCCAGAACTCCATATAATTGTTGCATGTTGAGATATAAATGAAAACAAACCTTCATTAAAATTAGAAGGCTTAGTCTTGAACAAGAATTAACACGCAGGGCATTGCATGTAAACTGAAGACAGGGAGGGTTTCTGCTAGAAACGTTTTAGATTATAATTTCTTCATCTAGGAAATAAAATGATGATATTTACCCCCCTTACAAGATGATCTGAGAGCTTAAAACTTATTCATGCCTCATAAACTTTGTAAGATATTTTGATGAAAGTTCTTTACAGAAGTGAAAAGTATTGATGGATTCGATTTTTATTAAACCTGTATTGTTCTATTTTGGTTTTAAGACTACTGCTGCATTTCCAAGATGCCCAACACAGAAAATTGAATGTTGAAAATTGACCTGGGTTTAATATTGTTGCATTTTTTCATTTCCTCCTCTTACTGCCTCGTCAGTAGCAATGAACTTTAATTAAAGCACACAACTATTTAAAAGTTCCTTTATCCCATATGACTTAAGTACTCCAGTATGTTTTCAAATGTACTGAAACAATGTACCTGTTAATACACAAAAAACAAAGGCTTAGGTTTAGCTACTCCAACCTTAATGTTGCATCCACTTCCTCTGAGACTAGTTTATTAGTTCATGGCAAGTCTAATTCGTGAAGTCCAAGACACTGATTCTTATCTCACTAACCTTACACTGATACAAGTTAAGATGGAGTCTGCATGCACGAGCTGCTTTTAAACCATTTCCACTTGCAGTTTACAGAAGGTAAATGTGACCTCTGTTAAATAGGTCTAGATGCATGGGAGAAAAAAGGGCTGCTGAATCACCCCCCTGTTATATAGCCAAAAGGATGCAACACACAGCACTAGAAAATATTAAAGGTGGAAGGAGAACACTTACATCTTAGTGGTCTTCTTGCAGTAAATTCTTCCATAGCAGAAATAGGCACAAACATTAGTTACTGGAGTGGATAGGATGTAATTCAAGATGCAAGGGCCATACAAACACTGTTACACATACCTAGATATGCTCAAATGTGAGAGATCATTTACCATCTACAATACTCCATATTTAAGCATTCCTGAACAATTTCATTGGTACAAGCGATTTTTTCTATATTGACATGAAAAAAGCAAAATTAAAGCTGTAAAAAAAATTACTCACAAGCTGAAATAGTCTATGCTTACTTGACAGGGTTCTTGGCAGCATCTGGATCCTGAGCAGTTACTGTTCCTATTACAGTGTTTATTGGAACGTCTTCCTTCACTTCCATTATGTATGCCGGTCTGCTGAACACAGGCGGTTCATCTACATCCTCCACCTGAATTCTGACTGTAGCTGAGTCCTTGAATGGCCCCAGATAGAGGAATCGAGGATCCACATGAATATTGGTAGCTTCCACTTTCAGTATATACAGGTTTTTACTTTCAAAATCCAATGCCTGGGAAGAGGAGGGGAAAAAAAAAAGAAAAGAAAAAAATTTGGGAAGTCTGCGGGCGCTCCTGTGGCTTGCAGCCAGATGACCCAAACGAATAGGCAGATGTCATAGAGAAGCCTTTGCTAGATAACGTAAGCCTGAACTGGAATTACAACGCCAGCATAAAGGGAAAAGGTCTCCATGGCTCCATGGTATGTTATAAAAAGAACCCAACACATTTTTTCAGGGAATTCTATGGCTGGCATTCCTAAATATCAATTAACCTCTCATTCTCAAATGGCCTTAACTTTTCATGCCTTAGATTCTGTCATTTTTGGCATTTTGACGTTTTCTGGTATATTCCTTGCCCCTAAGCACCACATACTAAAGGGGGGGAAGATTTTCTAGGAGCTGCTTGTTTAAATATTGGCATTCCATCACTGAAACAAAGCACTGTGACATCTGTGTGACATCTAGTGTCTGGACATCCTGAACTACCCATCAAGCCAAACATGATTTTGTGATAGGCTATGACTGTACCACACGTTATTAAAAGTATGAAGAAGCAGCACTTAGCAATTCTCTGTTAAATGTGGGGATAGAGTAGTTGTCCTGTTTTTCCATTACGATGTGAAAGATTCACAGCTTCTGTCAACAATGGACAGAAATGCAAATGGAGTTAGACTGATATAATAATCAGCCCCTGGAAGGCATCTCTTAAAAAACAAGAAATGACAGGTGTCGTACTGATAGCAACAAGCAAGTGCATGGTCAGAAAATCTATACAATGTCTATCTAGTGATGACTGAACTTGAACTGATGGAGGATGATATCTGTAACCTTATCAAGCTTTCCTGATAGCCCACTGTAAACAATATTTCTCAAACCTTTTCTGACAGCCAATGTGCAACCTCATAGATGATGTCCAGTATAATCTGGTAAGGCGTCAGATGCTTTCTAAAACAAAAGCATGCTGATGGATTTGTTAATTACATTTTTACAAAATGTGAATCAAAATTAATTAGTCTGTGTACTTTATTACATTACAACTATAGAATTCAAGACCTTCTGATAATGCAAAATAGGCAACGTAATACTGATTAGTTCTGTGGTCTTAACACAGCACTTTCTAGTAAGTGAGCAAATCCTGCAAACATCACAGAGAAAAAAAAATCACAGTTGGATAGTCTTGCCTCCTTGAGTTATTCTGTGGATGCGTTCTGACTGTAGCATTTTTTTCTCAGCCCCATTCCACTCCCTAGATTATTTACCTGCTTAGGTCCTTCAAAGTATGTGCATTGGTCTAGTAAAGGAGGATATAAAAGGAAGGACATAATTTGCTTTTATAAAAGAAAATTTACATAGGTAATGTAGAGATACCTAACTGATAAAATTCAAGTTAATAAACAACACATGTTGCACTAAAAATGGAAAACAAATATATGCTAGATAAAGTTTTGACTGGTATTTCAGAGGCTGGGATTAAGCATGCTAAAATGTGTACCTTTTTGACACTTATAATTCCTTCCTGTGTGTCCTTGTCTGTGGTAATTCCAAACATGTCATATCCATCCCCCTCAGTGATGCTGTATTCAATCTCTGCATTTTCATCCACATCAGCATCATTAGCTTTTATCCTGCCAACTGGTGAGTTAGGTGGTGTAGACTCAGGAACTCTGAAATGGTATGTACCTACAGCAGAGGGAGAAGAAAGTTTTGTCAGTCAGTCTCGTGGTACTTTGGACACCATCTCTCAGCCCACTCTCCATGCTGGGCATGCACAGATGAGTTCATGAGTTCACTGTCATTTCCAGGCCTTCCTGGGGCAACAAGCCTTCAGCTTCTGTCTTACTTTCATGCAGATAAAAGTAACTTTTTTTTCTATTTTTCACTATGAAGGGTAGGCATTTTGTTTTCTTACAAACATGTATTTTTATCAACATACGTTCCGTTCTAGATATTATCAAGGTCTCCGTAGGCCATATCAAAACTGTATCCAAAAAATGTCTTGAGGCCAAAAGACAAATATTAAGAACTGCCGGAGGCTAATGCAACTTACTAACACTAAAACCAAATCCAGTGCAAATGCCTATTAATAATGTGCTACATTGAATTGTCCTCTGAAAAACCTCTACTCGGGGAATGTTGGCATTATGAAGCTGTATCTTTGGCTTTTATATTGAAGACATTTATGTCCAGAGATGTATAATTAACTCACTGGGGGCAGAGTGCTATATTTTCTCTAAAGTTGCTCTAATTTAAATGGAAACACTCTGCCCACAGCTAAGAGCAGACTTTGAACTTAAATGACAAGTTGCTTCCAATAACTTTCCCAGTGACTTAACCGCCAAAGCTTGCTGATTTGTCTGATAGTATCTGCAATTATTTTCTCTAACAGCTGCTCTTGACTTTCACACACACTGACACTGTGATATACACACATCACATACAGAGCAGTGGTTAGACAAAGCAAAAAAGAAGAAAAAGAGAGAAAGAAAGGAGGAAGGAAACAGAGAAAGAGGAAAGAAGGAAAGAGAGGGAAAGAGAAAGCTGATGAAAGCTGTATCATGAATGGTCATTAGTAGAAATTAGTTTCCAATAGATCTTGCTCAACTGATTCCTTTAAATGTCACACAGATATAAACCAAATTATCTGAGATAGGGGATGGAAAATAGGTAGAAATATCTGGTACATTTATGTATGTGCCGTTGTTTCTGTATGCAAAGAATATAGGAAAACCCATTGAGGCAAGTGCTTCCTGGATGAAAATACTAATTTTAATAGAATTGATTTTGGGATCATTTTACATACTTAAATAAGTATGTTGCAAAGCTTAAATATGTTAGATTAGAACAGATATCTTCAAACACAAAGTCTAATAGACATAATACTGAACAAGAAATATAGATTATATGAGTCAAAGCCATTTAATAGGTAGGAAAAATAGAAGTTGTTTCTGCACTTTAATTCACCTCTCAGTCTACTGCAACTGGAGTAAAAAGATGAGATTTTTTTCCCACTTATTGCAATTAGCCTTAGTACGATGCTATTGCTTGCTTGTGTTTTCTCTTTTTCTCTCTTAATGGAAGTTTTATACTCAGATCAGAAAAGCAGAAACAATTTTTATCCATTTTAATGTAAAGACATAAAATACAAATATTCCATACTCTGGGGGAAGCGAGGTGGATTATCGTTTACATCAGTCAGTGTAATGTTCACAGTGGTGGTTCCTGATAATCCACCCATCTGGCCTCCCATATCCTTAGCCTGGATGACCACTTGATATTGCTCTCTGTTTTCACGGTCCATGTTTAGCAAAGCAGTTTTAATAATACCTGAAAACATAAAAATAAAAGAGGGGAAGTTACAAATAATGTCCTGACTTTGATGGAAATTCTTATTAAAAAATACCCACAGTCTAAAGAACAAAACAATTTCTGTGTAATATGTAAAATCTGCCCTGTACAAATATTTACCTCTATGAGACGGCTCATTGAATTACAGACTTATATCATATTTCAGGCTGCTGCCTACGTGACAGATACAATATTAGTGGCAACCCCAGAAACATGTTCTACTTATTTGTGAGCAGTGTTATTGCACATAACTATTTATCCCCTTTCAGTTCCATGCTAAAAGTCTCTCACTGAACTGGATAAAGGCTCTTTGTTCATTACAATGTGCTCCATCTTCACTCTCCTGTTCTGTTAATATTTTTATTTTGACAGAGGTGGTGAGTTAAAAAAAAAACTAACTTCAGCAAGACATCATTAAAGAAGCAGTACAACAACATTAAATGGGAGAAGAGGAATTAATTAAGAAAATTATGCCTGAGTATGTATATTTCTATTTATACACTGATTGAAATTATTTTGCCAGTCACTTTCTTCTTCAAAGGTACAAACACCAATTATGAGGCCAAACTTTATTGAAATTCTTACTGAATATTTACCATGAAGAAAAATGTTTGCATTCCTACTGGGTCTCTTAAGGCCAAGAACTGATTCCTTTGTAGGCAAAAGGGATGAAATTCAACTACTGAAATTCATGGCAAAATTCATAGCATATTTGACAGAGACTTATTTCACTCTAGGAGTTTTGCAATTGATTTCCATGGCGGCAAGATCAAGCCTGTGGTTTACCTTGCTTCCTCTCTGCGTTCCATACAAGTTTCTTGCTAGAAGGTTATTATGGGTGAACTCCCAGCTACATTATCCTTATTATAACTCTAGATGGAAGAGCACACAGCATACTGTCCAAGTCAGAATGAGTGCATCAGTGCAAAAATCCTTGACTGTATTATCTAATACCATATGCTTGAAGGGAAGTTCCCTTTGATCTTACCTCTCCCTCTTTTCAAAATTATGTACATTTTTTTCACTTCAGGTTTTTCTTCGGGGCATCTAATCTCTCCCTCCTTTTCCCTGCCTGAGTCTCTAAGATTTATTTCAGAAACAATGTTAAATTAATGACCCAGATTAATTATCTGGGACAATCCATTCCTTTCTTGTAAGGGTGCTGAGGAGAAATGATTTCTCTAGCTTCCAACAACCTATCACAGTGGATTTTTCCCATGTAAGGAGTTTCTTGAGATCTTTTGTTTCTTGTTGGAGAATTTTGTTATAAATCTTGGGAATTTCTATGTAGTCAGATAGTCAGTGGTGCAGCAGTCAGACAGAATTCATGTTTTACATGCACAGATTCCAAAGCTGTCTGTTAATCAGCCCACAAAAAATTCCAGTCACTATGTGTAATTTAAACATCTTCCAAAAACAGAACTCAAGTTTGGGATTCTATTTGTGGTCTTCTAGTGTAGCACAACAGCCAATTTTACCTCTTCTATCATTATTCTTAATTAAGATTTCTTTCATGAAATTAACATTAAAGTGATGTGCTGCAGATGCACAGAAATTATAATTACTTTAAATAAGTTTTGAAGAAGCAGAAGTAGAAAAAAAACCAACCTGAACAAACCCTCAATCTTAATTTATCCGTTATGAATATCTATGACTATTAAGCACTTTTTTCCACACCCACCTGATTCTCGTTTTTGTCTAAAAGCCAACCTATTTAGTTTAATTTAAGCATCCACAGTAGTCTCTGTACCTACTGCTTGTTAAAAATTATAGCAAGTGGGTTCACATCCAGTACTAATTGTATTTATTAGACTTTACTGGTAAAATTAAAAAAAAAGTAGGTGTCACGCTTACAGATGTATCGCTCTATTAAGTTTGTCAGATTTTGCACTAAGATGTAATCTCTCTGAAGTTTTTGTCCAATGTGTTCTAGCTTGGCTTAGCATGTCATTTTGAATTACAGACATTGTCACAGAATGACAGATAAGGTCCCCTGACCTGTCTCGGATTCAACAGAGAAATATGGCTGTCCCTGGAGAATGCTGTAGACAACTTTAGCACTGTTTCCATATGTAGGATCATCAGCATCAGTTGCAGTGACTTGCACAACAAAGGTACCTGCAATGATAAATAAACAAATAAATAAATAAAAGTAACAAAAATAGACTTTTTTTTTTTCAAGACAGTTTATGATGTAGAAATACACATAGTTCAGGTCCAGGTCAAACTTGTGGCAAAAAGTTAGAGACTTTTTTATTTTGTAGAAATTTCTCTGTTCATAACAGCGATAGATTCACAATCAAGATGATAGCTGGCTTATTCTCAGTTCATTAAAATACACAGTTATTGACTGGCTGTGTAGTTCCTTCATCATATTTCTCATAAAGAAACCAGAAGTGCACCTTTCCCCAGATATTGAAGGCATTCAGAATTTCAGTCTAGGTCAAGAATATAATTTTGTAAACCTACTCATGCTTGTAAGGTATTTGACACAGAAATGTAACCTGTTTTTTCATGTGTCTTGTAGAGAAAGAAATGGTGTTGAAACCTAGGCAAAGTGTTAACAAACATTAAAAAAATGAGCTTAGGTCTTGGCATTTAAAACAGATTTGCGAATAAAATATTCACATATTAAAATATGAATATTATGTTCTCTCCACCAGATGAGATTTTATCCATGTGACAAGTCCCATGAATGAGAGGAGAGAGTATGCCCCAAAGTCTTTATTTTCGTATTGCCTGAGCTTTATTTTAATCTCATTTTTGATCATGATTAATTAATACTTCTCTCTCTGGATATTATTTCAGATTAGAAATGTGATTCTTGCAGCTTAACCATCCGTCGCTCTCTGACAAAGAAATCAAAATGACCTCCATAAGAATCAGAAACAAAGAATCAAATCCCGTCAACTTCTCTGGAAAAGACCCAATATTAAAATTATATTTCAAGAAAGCTATTTATTTTTGATTAATTCCTACAGTTTGATACATTTTAAATCAAGAAAAAGATTTCAGTGGACTTCAGTGGACTTTGGAGCTCTTTTATTTTGCATTAAAAGAGAAAAAAAGGTCATAAGTTAGTGGCATATATTAGAATCAGTGGTGACCTGACTCAGGTCACAGTTTTCACTCCTGAAGTGTGTACAACCACTTCTGCATCTGCCTTTTTCCATTTTTTTTTACCTTCCTGAAATAAAGAATTGTTGCTGAACTGATCCAGGGGTGATATGGACACAGGTGACTGTGGAATAGCATATTTTTACACTACTACTAAATGATGTTAACAAAGCATACTAAAGTCACACAGAACTTACTTAGATCACTTTCACTGCAGCTAAACTCGATTGCATGAACTTGCATTTTTTGTGGTATGTCAGAGGGAGTGGGTTTCACTCAGCTGACATTTCTGATTCCAGCAAACTTCTGTCACTACAGCAGATGTCTGTATTTAGTGCCTAAAATTTGGCCCTTCATTAACTCCTCAGAAAGCACACAGACCACACACTGAAATAAATTATTAGTTAGCACCTACCAACATCTGACATTTCAGGAATGCTGGCATTGTAAACATCCTTTGTAAACATTGGTTCATTGTCATTGATATCATGGATCTTAATGATGAACTCAGATTCTGGTTCCACTGGTCTTCCAGTCCTTCTGTTTACAGCCTGGGCACGGAGTATGTATACAGGCTTTTCTTCCCTGTCTAGTCTCTTTGTGGCTTGGATGTCACCAGTATTTTCATTGATAATGAAGAGGTCTCCTGCTCCATCTCCAGAAAGGATGTACTTAAGTGATCCATCTCCTTTATCTTGGTCTGAGTGCAGCTGGTGGTGAAATGGGAATTAAAAAAAAAAAAAATTCAAAAAAAAAGAAAGGAAAGTAAATACTTGGGACACAATTTTAGATACTTTTACTGATATCATGATACATATTTTACTATTATTAATACCCAAACAAAAAGTCTGTACCCTGCTTTTGGGAAATGAGATGATACCACAGTAGTAGTGAATTGACGGAGTTGTGTCTTGATGTCAGAATTGAAATGGGCCACAGTATTATAAGAAATTGACTGAGAAAAACCCATGAACTGAAGAGGCAGATCACTTTCCCAAGCTAAGCATACATCAATCAGATCTAAATGCTAGCTATGTAGGTGGAATCCTAGGAATATGTAGGACAAAGAGATCCTACAGTGAGAAAACAGTGGATTTGGAAATTGCAGTAAGCAAAGAATTAAAAAGTGGCCAGATCAGCCACTTTTTGAGTTTAAATTCTGGGTGCTCAGCTCTTACACCCCATGGAGATTATGTAATAGAGTTCACAACATAACAACATATTAAATACGTACACATATAGCAGATAAATACATGCATTCACAGATGCGGCAAACTAAGAACAGAGGCAGACGAGCATACTAGCTCACTACAGCACTGGCAGTTGCCTTATCCAAAGGGAGAAAGACCAAGCTGAAACATGGTGGGGGCAGCGGAAAGAAGGCAATGATGGTAATTAGCATACAAAGCATGAGCTGCCCAGTCTGTCATCTTTTATCCTCAGGAGATTTCTATGTCTCTTGAAATGCTGCCTAGCACACACACAAGGTATGAATCATTAGATCATACTCTCCTGGCTGTTCCTTTGATAAAGACTTATTTATCCCCTGGCCTTAAAATCAAAGCTAATCAATTACAGTTTCTTTTGTCGCTACTTTAGAGAAAGTAAAAATTTAAAAAATGAAGCATTTAAATGGCTTTTAAAGTCAGGGCATAAGTAATGAAATTTATGGGGGAAAAAAGAATCTATTAGGTAGCAGGTGCTTAGAAATTGTTGATTTCATAGAAAAGACATGTTAATGAGTGAGGAAAACTGGACTTATCCAGCTCTTTGCTTCTCTTTGCTTGCGTACAAGTTAGAAAAAGAATACCTAGTTGACTGCACAGCAAATTACTTAACATTGTTGGATGGCATACTTCGTAAAAATGAAAGACTTGTAGGCTGAAAGAATATAGAAAATCTTCACACAGACTTTACCAGTGGCTGGCTATGCCTCTACCATGCTGGAAGGGCAGCCTCCAGCATGACCAATATGATCAATGTTTTGGGCTTCCTCCAACTTCCTGACAAGATCAGTGTTATGTTGGCAGTCTACTGACACCCACTTAGTGGCACAGTGTGCATATGTCTATGGTCTCTGAAGTAAGCATGCTCCGTGCAAAAAGTCTGCCTTGAAGAGCAAAACTCTGCGTCACCACACATACCAAAAGTGTCCAATAATACAAAATATCAGAACTGTAGCATGGTTAATCATTAGCAGACATGCTGAGGCACTCTTCTTAATTTTCTCCCTCAGGGAGATAATGGGCATTCCATGTAATTTTGCACAGAGCCCTTTCTCTTGATAATAAGAGTGCCATGAAGGAGCTTGTATGCATCTTTTTTCATAAGCTGATTTCAAAACCCATCACAAAAGCAGTCAACACCATTTGCTATGTCTCTTGGATAACGAAGCATAGAAACTTGAAGTTTCCCATAAGGCTAGTCTTGGAATTTGAAATAGAAATCATGCCTCCTGTGTCCAGTTCAGTTGGCCAAAGACTCTGCCATAATGCTGAGAGGAATTATACAATTTACCAGATACAAGCTCAAACTCTGACAAGCATCTATTAGACCTGCTTGTTAAGAAGTCAGAAGAGTAGACTGCTGTGGGAAGTCATTTCAATAGGTTATTTAAGCACAATTTTTCTCAAAGGCAACCTGCAACAAAAAAAGTGTGAATTTTGTCTTTGAAACTGTGTATTTTTTATAACTGTTTCATATCAAAAAGTCTACTTTTGTTTGCCTTGAAAGCCTCTTTAACTTTGTATGTATCATACTGGGGCAAAAACAGCCCTCGGTAAAAGACTACCATTAATTCACATGAATTATAGTATAGTGTTGTTGTGAGACTTGTTGCAGGCTGAACTCCCAAACTCACTTTTATCATCATTTTAATCAAACCTTGTCGGAGTCGCGGGAGACAAGCCTCATGCTATCATGGTCAGCAAGTCTCGTTTATTTAGCAAAATACAGCCATTTTTATAGTCTCAGTGTTAGATACAATTTCTGCTAGGGTACAATAAAATCATTGGTTAGTTTGTGCTAACACAGGGGTTTCTAAAACAATCGCGACCGCTTCTTGTTTCAATATGTTTCACTCTTGCTCAAGCGTTACCGTTGCGCTATCTCAGCAAGCATACATCCTGTCCTTGAGCAGCCATTGACCACACAGTTGCTGCTGTGTTCTTCGGCCTAGATCTTGACTAGTTGCACAGTTTCGTGGCCTTTGTCCTGCAGCCATTCTGCTGTCAGGCTCTCTACACTTCCCCCGTTTTCTTTAGTAGCAAGCATAGCCATTTTATGATTGAAAGCATTCGATATCATTTTTTGCAAACACTGCATGATACACGGTAAAAGCAAAATTGCGAGCAAAATTATAGCCAGCACCAAAGCAAGTTTTTCTATCAAAGTGATTAACCAAGGAGATAATCCAAAGGACGCTAACCAGTCTGTGAAAGGATCACTTGTTTCCTGTAATTTTCGCATATTGTCTTTTAAGTGTGCTAATTGTTTGTGAATGGAGTTAGAGTGGTCTGAAAGATTCATGCAGCACATACCTTCAAATTCATCACACCCATGACCTTGTGCTAAGAGGAGAAAATTGATTGCTGCTCTGTTTTGCAAAGTTGCATGTCTTATAGAGTCAACATCAGTGAGCAGCGCAGAGAGAGCGGATGCTGTAGCATTAGTTTTCTTAGCAAGCCAACATCCTAACTTATTCAATGTTGCCAAAGCTTGAGCGCTAGCTACTCCGGGAGCTAAAAATGAAGCAGCTATTTTTTCACCTGGTTCCAAAAATTTACTTTGTCATCGCAGCTCGGTTGAAAAGCGTGCGTTGACCTTCGAGAACACAATCCTCGTTTATTTATTATCATAGTGTTATTAGAGATAAACATGCCTAAGGTCCCTACTGCACACGGGCCATCCTTTATATGGGATAGCACCCTTTCCCAGGCCCGATCTTGTGGCAACTGAGGCATGGACTCTGTTTCTGGCTACAAATGAAATCCCTTATTGAGTGAGCTTACAGGTTTTTATAGTATTCTGCTTAGCAGTTAGTAGCGGTTAGTTCTTTTGGTACTTTTCCATCACAAAACAATTTTATTAATCGCACACTCTTTCAGCTAATCACATTACTGTCCACACACCTTTGTTTGAATAATTATTTCTAAACATAGTTCTCTGCTATCACTACTCATTACAATCTCACTTCCACTTCCCCTTGACTACACATTCTTTATCCTGTCTTAAGCATCCTCCTGTTTCCAAATGTACAGTCCTCAGAAATTATCTTGATGCTGTTTCTTCGGTTCCACCCGGTGTTCTTTCTCCACTTCTTTCTAACTTGTCCCGTTCACTTCTCCCAAGGTTTGTGGCTGATAAGAGTCCAGATGCCTGGGCTCTCATCCAGGTCTACTGGTGCAGCTTCTTGTGCAGCATTCCCCTCATCTCTCCCTTCTTTATAAACTAACGAAACATTGTTAATAGACTTAGCAAACAAACGATTTACACAAGCAATTAAACAAGGAAGTTTGATTAAAATACATAGAGATTTTTACATAGGTTAATGCGATTTTAATAATATTTTTCAAGCATGCACTGACGCCCTATTCTGACAGCAAACTTTCTAGCCAATTCCAGCTACTCTCCACTCACAACTTCTTAACTCCGTCCTTTAGGTTTTGAACTGCATCATGGACAGACTCAGAATGATCAGATAGATTCACGTAACACATTCTATCAAAGTCTTTACATCCATGTCCTTGAGATAATTGCAAAAAATCTATGGCAGCTCTGTTTTGAAGGGTAGCGTGTTTGACTGAATCGTGCTCTGTTAAGAGACCATTGCTGTGGGTGAAAGACCTCCGGGGCAGAGGCTGGGTTTCTTACCGCCTCTCACCGGGAGGAGTGGACCCCGCACCGCCGCGCACCCCGCGCCTGCCGGAGCACAGAAAGGCGAGGGGCGGGCGAGTATCAGAGCCCTCTGCCCGCGGGCCGGCAATGGGGGGAGCCCGCCGGAGCCTGCTGCTGCCGCCGCCGGGCGAGTGAGTGAGGTCGCGGCATCAGGGAGGTGGAGGCGGCGCGCCCGTGCTCCGCAGCTCCTTATCCCACCGCTGCTACCGGGTGCAGCCCCTCGGTCGGCGGGGAGCCCCCGCCGCAGCCTCCGTTCGGCTCCCGCGGGAGCGCCGTTTTCCTCCCCGCCGTCCAGCCCCCGGTTCGCCTCGTGACGGACGGGATGTGGAGCATTCAGGTTGTGGGGCAGGCTCACAGCACCTTGATTTTCCGCTTGTTTTTTAATGTTTTTCCACATATCATGCGGGTCAGGGGGGTAGAGGTGGGGTTCTCTGTCAGGGTCGATTATTCCGGGATCAAAAGGGTCATCTTTGCCTGGCTCGTTTGCTGTTGCAGCCCGCCGGCAGATATCTTCCCGCAGATCGATACTCGCGGGCGGGTTAGGGGCAGAAGGATCATAGTTACGATTCTGATCTTGTGCCAAACGGGCACTTTCAGCCGCACGTTTCTCTGCCTGTACCATCAGGAGTTCGTTATGTATCAAACGCCACAATTTGGATAACTTTTTAGCAGTTTTATCATCATCTAATGTAAGATCCCATAATTTATCGCCGTGGCGACGCCATTCCGATAACTGGTGAACAGAGTGGGGGTCACTAAAAATGCCGAGAGACTGGGCATGAGAAAGAAGGGCAGGGAGGTCCTTATCAAAGTC